TGCAAATTCAGCTGTTACAATCTGCATGGTGCTGAAGTTTTTTGCTTTACTTTTTAATTTCCAATAATGCTGAATTCAATTTCCAATTTCTTGCTTTACGTTAAGATATTGTATGTTTGTTTTAGTACTTTCTGAATTCAATCATATAATCCTTTTGAAGTGTATCCTTTTATGATCATACTGATTTGGAGGATGCATAACCTGAAGCTGGACCAACATAAAGCAAGAATCACACAGAGTAAGAGATTTCAGTTCATCAAGCTTACTCTAAAGTTTAAGCTTACTTAATCTAAATTTTTCAAATATCTGCAGTCGGGCATAAATCCTTCGAGATCATTGATTTCCATAACGTTCCAGGCTTTTTAACGATCTCAGTAATACAAAACTAAATATTACTGTATTCCTTCTCCAATTTCAACTGAGTGGTATGTGTTGCAATTGCACTTTCTTTGACTTTGACCGGATGGCCAAACTCTGCAACATTAGTTCAAGTTCATCGGTCAATGTGCTTACTATTGATGCATCATACTATCTAAATACAAATTTGTGTTTTTCAAAACAATTCAAACAGCATGTTAGGATATTGGATATTTGGCCAAATCTGTAAGATCAAGTCCTGATGATAATGGCATAACATGAGAAGAAAGGCATGACTTGTTTTCTTAGGTCACGACATGTAATTTATTTGTCTAGAACATTTCAGGAGATCATTCTTCCATATCAAATCAAAAGAATGATTTTAATTGGATCTTTATCATCCTCTTCTCCAAATGTAACCAAAAGAAACAAAGTACGTAGTGGCACAAGAAGTTCCTAAATGAAATATTTGCAGTAATTGTCGTTTGGACTTACTTGTCACATTTGTGTTTGTATTAGGGATGAAATGGAGAGGATAAAGGAACAAAAATATAGGAGGGTAAAAATGAAATTAAAAATAAAAAAATTATTATTTGAATGGATAAAAATAGAAAAAAAACAAGATAAAACATTCCTCCACTTTCTTAACAAGTGGAAAAGAGAGTAAATAGAATCATTTTAAAAAATATTTATCGTAATCATACAAAATTTAAATTAATCCAAAAAATCTAGCATTATTCTAATATTTTTCTTGATAAAAAATCATTTATCAATATAATTAACTATAACAACAAATTAAAAAAATATCATGATTCCTTTCCCTTCCTTCCATTCTATTTTATTAATAGATCCTACCAAAAAAATTCCCTTCCCTCCCTATCTCCACTCATCCAACCAGATAAGCTTTTCATCTTTCTCTTAATTTCCTCTCACTCCCTTTCCTTGCTATTATCCACACAAAACATTATCTATATCTGTACAATGGATCTACAGCTTTATACTGTTCACATTTGCAAATTTTCTTCCTATATCGAAGTTGAGTTCCTTTAGCTTATCATTCCTTCAGTTAATCACATACATCATCAATATAAATATTGAAATCAATCTATGCATCGAATTAACTTTTTGATCAAATAATTTGTGAACAAAATTTTTGACGAGTTTTAATTGTTTCCTTAGCAGAATCTTGCGTCAGAGAAGAATCATTCATTGTTTATTCAAGCTATCAAGACTTCCTGAACTTGTTAACAGTTTATGTTACAATAAGAAATAGTTAGAAAAAATAGGTGAAAACACCATGAAATTGAATATTTATAAAAGAGAAAAGATAAGACAAAATTCTACCATCCAGAAGCATACCAGTCAGCTGCTAAATATTCTCAATAAGTTGATCATATAAGTTCAAAGTTGAAATATTACCCTTCAATCATTTCCAAAATTTCTCTCTCTTTTTAGCTTAACTTGACTTCTCAATCAAATGAAAGTTTCTTTGCCTAGCATTTATAGATGTCCACTCGAAGTGTAAAGTAAGAGTAGATCAGACTTTCCTGTTTTACCATCGTTAAAAAAGAGTTCAATCAAATTAAAATTACATATAGGTCCTGTTTTTTGGTAAATTTTTCTAAAAAATTTTAAAAGAGAAAAAATCAGTATAAAAAGTAAATAAATTTTTTCAAAAGTTAAAAATAACTTATATTTCTTAATCTTTTTAGAAGTTTTGAGAATTTTCTTATTTAACTTTTATAAAATTTAAAGAGATAAATTATTTTTAATTTATGAAAAAATTATTTATTTTTATAATAATTTTTTATATAAAAATTTCTCTACAAATTCACTCAAACCCAAACAAGATAATATACTAAAACAGGAAAATGAGTAATTAAAAAATATATTGACAGAATAGCCCAAACTTGCTAACTTCCCGGTAGTCACTAAAGAACAAAACCCATGAAACTACATTATTTTCCTTCCCCCGCCCAAAACAGAATAGCATAATATATTGAAGAGAGTTCAAGAGAGGAAAACCAAAAACAATTAAAAGCAAAGGTAGAAGCTTTTTTTTTTTTTTATTGAAAAATTTAAATGATATGAGGATAAGGAATTCCTTAGCTTACATGCATGCCTACTCTCAAATTTCAAAACATAGTATCCAAACAAAATCTATCAACTTGAGGAATCTATACACCCACTGAATTATAAAAGACAAGTTAACCATTACAACTAGAGTTATATTTTCCTACACACTTTGTAAGATGCTTTTTTACAATTAGGTTTGTCTCTCTAATTGTTCTCTTCTTATCTTTCTCCTAGTTGTTGAAATAAATTTTCTCTTCAATTTATTATTGTTGGTATTGTATATATAGTTTAAACAAAATGTAGCTTCTACATATTGACGTGTTCTTGAAAATGACCACAGCCAAAAATATAATTTATCATCAAATTCTAATATTGTTAACAGATTAAATTTAGAAACCTATGCTAACAACAATATAGTTTAAATGAAGTTCAAAAGTTTTACATCATTCTAAACTCCAATTCTTTGCATCAGTTTCCCTACATAAAAATAAATCAACTATAGAATAAATTTTGCATTCAGAAGTCAAATTTTTAAAACTTTTATCAATCTCGCTACACAAGAATAGAACAATATTACGACCAAAACTTCATTTAACAGGATATGAAATAAATAAAAGAAAAGAAGCAAAATTTAAATGTGAATCAAACCTACTATTTGATCAATTTTTACTTCAAAAGAATAAAACAATAACTCTAGTAGAATTTTTTCAAATGAATTCCAATCCTTTTCAGAATTTTATATATTCTTTTGCACTATCACCCCATGAGACTGAGATTTTAATGTCAGTTTCAAAGATTCTTTGCACAATAGTCATCATCTCACACAGAGTGAGCATTAATTCAAGAATACAAAAACAAATAAAGTTTCAATGTCTGCACTATAATAAACTAAAAGCTAAACAGAATCATGTCATACAGAAAAATTCAAGAAAATCAGAAAATTCAGATGCTTAATGACACATGTAGTGAGCATTAAATTCCAAAGCGTTTCCATTGAGATTGATAAAGAAAGAAAAGCAAAATACCAATGTGTTATCAGTCTCACTTCCTGATGCTTACCATTTACCATTTTAATCAGATTCACTTCAAAAGAATAAAACAATAACTCAATTGGTTTTATCATATCAAGATAAGGAATAAAATGTTCGTTAGAAAAAGAAAAACAGAAAATTAAAGAATAGAACCAATAACCCAATCCTTTTCAGAGTTTACCATCTTCATGTGATGTTTGTACAATCATCAGTTTCTTCTCGATCATGATGCGTACATGATTAAGATCGTCGCGTGAAGACAAATTCAAGAAAATTAAGAAGTTCTAATCAACACACCGAGGGAGTTACAAATGACGTTGAATTTGTAGAAGAAAGCAAAGCAAACCCCATTCTCTTAACCATTTGTAATTTGAAGAGCGAAATGAAATCATAGCGGGATCTGCGATTGTTGGTGACGACCAAGTTTTAGTGCTTGGAAACTAAAGCACCAATCCTAAGCGCATATATATATATATATATATATGATGCGCCAGTCGGTTTTATTTTTTTAATTATTATTAAATAAAAGCTTCTAATTTTTTTGAGGGAGTATTTACGTAAATGAATTAAATAAAAAACTTTATTAGGTAAATGTCCTTAAAATATGAAAATTAAGTGAATGTCCTAAAATTTGTCTTGAAGGAAAGTCAATTTGAAACGAATTTAATGTGCTGTCGTGCCGAATGCATCTACTGTGTATTTAAGCCTACCGAAGAAGGCCAGAATATTTGGGGAAGGTGTTTGAAAAACATTTTGAAGGAGGAAGGAAATTGTAAAGATAAAAAAAAGCATGAAGATGAATAATAATTTAAATAGGTTTAATTTAGTTTATCACATGTAAAATATCTGTCCAACTAATGTTGTTTTTCACGTACTTTTTCATATTCGACTCTTCAACTGTAGTAATATAATTGGTAGACGATCAATCAATCATGCTTGATCTTCAAATAATTATAATGTTTATAAAATACAATAAAAGACTAATTTATTAACATATTTTAATTAAATATATATTAACGTCCATAATTTTTAACGTGCAATCTCTTTTATTTTTTTTAAATTAATGAACCCGATTAATATATATATATATATATATATATATATATATAATTTTTAAAAAAAATATACTTAGTCTTAACCTTCTTTAGAAACGAACGTAATTTACCCTATCCACACACAAAAATAAACAGATCTGGTTGATCTATGATAAGTCTAAAGGTTAGCAGGCCTCTATAGATTGGGCTATTTTGATGATGATCTCTTGAGCGAAATGATAAAGAGGTACGTACAAAAAATATGGTAACGCCTTGACCATAGAAAAACACATTCTATTGCCCAATTAATTTTGTTTATTTAATTTGAACTCCTATTTTATTTATTTATTTATTTATTTTTATTTAATTTAAAAACAATTATTATTAGTAATAAATTTCTTTATAAGTTTCTATTTAATTTTAAAAGATCCGTGCGGAATCTTGCAATATAGGAACAAGACGAGGTCACTCACGGGCCTCATAATAATGGACATAGAAAGCGATGGAAACTACCACCAAGATCATGCTCTTGTTAGTCCTAATGCTCTTTTGGTGCACTGTAAAATGCAACCATCCTCACCCACTTGACCCTCTAACTCCTTCGGAGCTGAACCTTGTCCGAACTATAGTCCAAAAATCATATCCAACCTCAACGACCACCCACAACCTCACCTTTCACTACGTTGGGTTGGATGAGCCCAACAAGCCCGAAATCCTCTCATGGCTATCTTCAAACCAAAAGCCCAAGCTCAAAGGCTATCCACCACCTCGCCGGGCCTTCGTCATGGCCCGTTTCCAAAAGCAGTCTATCGAGATCACGGTGGATTTGTCCATTCGCTCCATCGTTTCCACCAAAGTCTACAAAGGACATGGCTATCCAATGCTCACCTTTGACGAACAAGGCATTGCATCACAGCTCCCATTCAGCTACGAGCCGTTTAAAGAGTCTTTAGAGAAAAGGGGTCTCAACATATCACAGGTTGTGTGTGCTGCCTTCACCGTTGGATGGTTCGGAGAAGCCAAGACCAAAAGGAACGTGAAGATTATATGTTATTACACAAGTGACACCGCTAATTTTTATGCTCGGCCTTTGGAGGGAGTGGAAGCGGTGGTTGACTTGGACGATATGAAAATCATTGGTTACAGTGATACGCGTGTGGTTCCAGTGCCCAAAGCAGAAGGCACTGAGTATAGAGCTTCTAAGATGATACCACCCTTTGGTCCAAAACTGAAGGGAATAGCTGTCACGCAAAGCGATGGACCTGGGTTCATCATTGACGGCCATTCTATAAGGTACCGTTTATTATATTTTATTTTGTACGCTTGTGCTTTTAGTTTTTTTATTGTTTATGACGACACAAAACTCGACTGCCACGACCAAGTCTTGCAATGTAGTAGGAAATATCAATTGATACTGTTAGTACGTAAAATATTTTCTTTTCGTGATTGGGGTCCATTAGTATAGTAATTTGAACATAAACTAATACCACCATGCATAAAAAAAGACAATGAAACAATAATCTTTCACATTATTATATAAGGAAAGCACTGCGAGCATATATTTGGAGAGTAGTGTACGTGATTATTTTATGAGGAAAGCATGCACTTCGGCCTTGGATGCTGCTATCTGGTAAGTAAGGAAATGTATTCTTACGTGGTACGTATTTTTCTCTTTGCCATTTACCCAAGAGAAACGTGTCAAAAGGATTAGCATAGCGTATAAGAATATCGGTTTCTCGCCCTTTATCCTATACGTTAGAATTATATAGGAGAATTAGCTCTATAAAGTATATCGAGCTTATATAAGTGACCCTAAAAGCAATTAATATATAACTGATTGAAATACCCTTCATTAAAAGAAAAATAATATTTTGAAAAAAATGAAAAGGATATTTGAACAAGATAGCATATAATCCTCTTTCATTCACTAATGTCACCATGGCTTCCTATTATTCTTTGTTTCGAGCACAAGACTGTGTATTTTGTTTTTTGGTTAACAAGAGCTACACAAGTATATATTTATTGCTTTGACTTTGACTGTGATCATTTTGGGTAATTAGTTGGGCGAACTGGGTCTTCCATTTGGGATTCGACGTTCAGTTTGGTCCAATAATATCTCTGGCATCAATATATGATCTCCAAAAGCAGAAATATCGTCGTGTACTATACAAAGGATTCATATCAGAGTTGTTTGTCCCATACCAAAACCCAACTGAGGAATGGTATTTCACGAACTACTTTGACTCTGGCGAATATGGCTTTGGACAGTCCATGTCTTCACTGCAGCCGTTCAATGATTGCCCCGCCAATGCTAAATTCTTAGATGCATACTATGCCAGTTCAGATGGTACTCCTGTAAAGATATCAAATGCCTTCTGCATATTTGAAAAGTATGCTGGTGATATCATGTGGCGTCATACAGAAATTGCAATCCCAGATGAAGTGGTACTTCTTTAATATTTTACTTTCAGTTTCATTTCTTTTTTCTTTTTTTTTTGTTCCATCTTTCATTTTGTTTTTTGGTTGATAAACATTCATTGTGTTTTCTTTGTAGATAACTGAGGTGAGGTCAGATGTCAGCCTAGTGGTGAGAACGGTTTCAACTGTGGGCAACTACGATTATGTGGTAGATTGGGAATTTAAGCCAAGTGGCAGCATCAAACTTAGGGTATTTACATGCACCAATCTCTAAATATTTTATGCATGAATGAAAATTTGGATCCTTCATTTCTTTATTCAATCTTTTAATAGATTTGACTTGCTCTCTGTTCTCTGTGAATGGTACCTTCAAAAAGCTTTCAAAAAGGATTATACATGCTGTTTAAAAATATTATGCAAAGCACTTTTAATCTTAACTTATTTGTATGTCATAATTTGAAACAGGTTGGGCTTACTGGGATATTAGGGATGATAGCAGGGAAATACACCAACGTGGATCAAATAAAAGATGACATCCATGGCACCCTGCTAGCAGATAATACTGTTGGTGTTTACCATGACCACTTCTTGACCTATTATCTTGACCTTGACATTGATGGTGAAGCCAACTCCTTTGTCAAGTCTAATTTAGAGACTGTAAGAGTGAAAGAACATACCATACCCAGGAAAAGTTATTGGAAAGTTGTAAGTGAAACAGCTAAAACCGAAGCTGATGCCAGAATCAACCTGGGGTTCAAGGCTTCTGAGCTAGTAGTGGTAAATCCTAATAAGAAGACCAAACAAGGAAATAAAATTGGGTACCGTTTGCTTCCCGGCTCAGTGGTGCACCCACTTTTGTTGACTGATGATTATCCACAAATCAGAGCTGCATTCACCAATTATAATGTATGGGTCACACCATATAACAAATCTGAGCAACGGGTAGCAGGATCGTATGTTGATCGCAGCAGAGGCGATGATACTTTGGCTATTTGGAGTCGCAGGTGTGTCACTTTGCTAACTAAATACCATAAAAATTATTATAGTTGATGGAGTAATAATGCTTAACTGCTTACTAGTACTTACACCCAAACACCTTCCACACAAATTACTGAGTAATCTTTTTTATTTAATTCCAACTCTTTTATAAACACTTAAATTCTTGAGTGTATGTAAAATGGTCTAATTTAGGCATTGTGATTTGAATGTGCAGGCAAAGGGAGATTGAGAATAAGGACATAGTATTGTGGTATACGTTGGGATTTCACCATGTTCCATCTCAGGAAGATTTTCCAGTTATGCCAACGTTGAGTGGTGGATTTGAGCTGAGACCGACCAATTTCTTTGAGAGCAACCCAGTCCTTAAAACGAAATCACCAAATTCTATGCACTGGCCTAATTGCACTTCTCAACAGTAGTTGGGTTGCATTTTGGCTGAAGCAACTAATTAATATGTTTATTGAAATCCAAAACCTTATACACATCTTTTTTTCTTGGTAACATATGGAAAGAAAAAAAAAAAACTGAAATTATAACTCAAGTTAGAAACACATGCAGCCATGTTAAGAAACCACACATGTATCTACTTGTTTAGGAATAATTTTACCGCAATCGACAAAATAATGGTCCCCATGCGAGACAATGTTTTCAGGAGTAATATATTAAGAAAACAAGTTAATTTAATTGTCAAAATATAAAATGAGTGTCATTTATAAATTTTAGAAATTAAAATAATATTTTATAATTTTAAGGATTGAATTTTTTATAAAAATAATTTCACAAATTAATATGATAATTATGTTTTTTAGAATAAATTTTAATTAATAAACGGCACTAATAACACTAAAACAATTGCAATTAAATTTTGTTTATACAAAAGATATTTTAAAGTTGGTTTTTATTATAGAATTGGTTGCTGTACAACATATAGTGTGGGAATTTTACATGATAGGGAAGAAGGCTGCAATAAATGATATAGAAATTATAATATTTAATAGCAATTTATATATTTAAAAATATTCTTTATTTTTAAATTTAAGATTAAAAAAGTGATAATTATTTCTGATAAAAGAAATGGAGGAAGTATTATACTTAATGAACAATTCCAATCCTTTTAGTATTCGATAATTAGATGGGCATTGGTTCGTATTGTTATTCCTGTTTCATTCAATTATTGGAATTATATATCTCATAATAATTTCACACTTACGCCATCCGAATAATCATACGTATTCCTAAGCCCATGACAGGTTTAAGAAAGGAGGTTTTTTTTTTTTTTCGCCTAAATAGGATAATTTGAAAAACTATTTCTCAATATAAGATTATTAAAAAATAAATTCTGTATTTAGGATAAATGACGACACCAATTTTTTAAATATAAAAATAATGAATAAAAACTGACATTTTTTCTGCTGCCACGTATACAGTGTCGTGAAATAAAAATACGACACACAAATGTCGGTTAAATTCAGTCGGACACTTATGTAATTAAAAATTTTATATGTAATCTCTCTCTCGAAGGGAAGCGTCTCTCCGTTGAACAAAAGATTTGCTAGGGACCCATTGCTTTGCTGACATATTCATAAACAAGAAGCTTCCTTGATCTTTGAATGCAAAAACCAATAACCTTAACTAAATTCCCATGATGTGCCCGAGCAATGGCAGTGATTTCAGCTCGGAATCCCCTCTCTCCTTCAGCATCAATTCTCTCAAGTCTCTTCACAACAATATTTTTGTTATTATCACCAACTGTACCTCTATAAACTATTCTATATGATCTCTACCTATCTCTTCCGTTAAGCCTCGAGTTGATTTCTCAAATGCATCAAAGAAAAATGAACGCAAAAAACATTCTTCAGTAAATCCCAGATCCTCGCATGAAGACAACAACTTTGTATATCTATAAACTTGGCGCCTATAAGTAATCCAAATGGACACCGCAAAAACCAAACTTAACAATGAAATGCTACCCAAAGTAAGAGCTAGAATCATTATCAGATTTCTCTTCTTATCAACAACGACCATAGGCTTCTTCCCCTTAATGACATCTTCTGCAGGCATCTTTAAGAAAGCCAAGGTTGGTGCATCTGAAACTAGAATACAGCTGCCTATTATTTTTTTATCTTTCTGCATCATGATATAAAATTTTTAATTACACAAGTCTCAGGACTGATTTTAACCAACACTCGTGTGTCGTATTTCTATTTCACGACACTCTGTACACATGGTCGCAAAAATAAGTGTCAATTTTTATTCATTTGACACTGCTATTTTTATATTTAAAAAATTTGTATCGTTATTTATTAGACCAACACTAAAAATAAAATAAAAAATGTGTGCTGATACTTTTTACGACACTCATCTATTCTTACCCAGGATACGAATTTGTTTCCCAATAATCTTATATTGAGAAATTGAGAAATAGTTTCTCAAATTATCATATTTAGGCAAAAAAAGCCAAGAAAGGAAGAGTCAGTTGACGTGCCCTCTCAACCTCAACCCGAATCATGTAGTGATGGCAGCTTGCGGGGATATTGCAGTTGGAATCGGTTTTTGTTTTTTACAAGCAAAAGCGTTGATAAACACCGCCAGTATTACTTATGTTTTCTTGCCAGATAGCATTCTGAGTTCTTGACTTATTTTGTGGGCAAAAAGTCTAGCATTATATGAACACACCAGAAAAAGAAACCCGTTTGCAGCATCCGAAGCGATTTTTATCTTTAGGTTCAGTTTCTTGGTCGGTAATAAATATTTGTAATAATTACAAACTATGTATTGTTCATGCAAAGCCATTCATCCAAGCGACAGGTTACGATGATATTTTCAGTTGCTTCCAACCTCTGTGCAGCAATAATTCTGGGACTAATCCCTCTTCTGTGCAGTAGAAATGGATAATGTCGAGGATGAGAAGAAGCGTTGGGAAATAGAATTTTCTGTTATTACAAAACTCAACTAATATCTGTTTACAGAGTAATTGGATATACAAACTAATTAACAAAATTTTACTTGAATTAACTATAACACTTCCCCCCTAATTCAAGTATTCAAAGATACTACACCTAACTCAACTCTCAGCCTCTCAAACCTGTCTCTCTTTATAATATTTAGTTAATATATCAACTACTTGTAATTTAGTGGGTCGGTATATCATGTGATACAGGATTGCTAGCTAAATTTATAGCTGACTTCTTATCAACTGGTATTAGTTGTATAAGCCTTTCAATCTAGTTTTACTGGTTATCAGGTTACATTTTGGATTTCACATCTTCTTGCACATGAATGTTACTAGCTCAAATTCATCTAGTGTCACCAGCTCGGATATTGGGAAAGAAAGTAAATAATAAAAATTTCACAAGTGTAGAATACCACGATAAAATTTAAAATCTTAAAATAATAAGTACATAAATTCATCTGTTTATAAATTTTTAATTTACTCATAATTCATATTATGTGCGTGATTCTGTTCACACTTAATTTCAACAAAAAGAAAAAAACACACAAAGAAGCGAATAAAAGTACAGTATTATGAACAATGACTAAGAAATTAATTAAAAAAATTAATAGTATTAGTATAGTTAATAGAAAAATGAGTTACTTTTAAAAATTAAATGATTAACTGAAACTTATTATAATCGAGAAAAGTAAAAAAAAAATTACATGGCCAAATGTATAATTTGGCATTTTTTATATCTATGAAAGTTTTTGCCAGTTAGGATATAAATAGCAAGAAAGCGGCTCTTGATTTGGGACATAAAAAGCTATGGATAAAGCCACGCCGACGATGATCATGCTCGTGTTTATTGTCCAAACACTCTTTTGGAGCACCACAGAATGCAAACATCATCATCCATTTGACCCTCTAACCCCTTCGGAGCTGAACCTTGTCCGAACCGTAGTAAAAAAATCATACCCAATATCAACTACAAGCCACAACCTCACCTTTCACTACGTTGGATTGGACGAGCCCAACAAGCCCGAAATCCTCTCATGGCTATCCTCAAACCCAAAGCCCAAAACGGAAGCTTCTCCACCACCTCGTCGAGCCTTTGTCGTAGCCCGCTTCCAAAAACAGTCCCTGGAGATCATGGTGGATTTGTCAACTCGCTCCATCATCTCAACCAAAGTCTACAAAGGACATGGCTACCCCCTACTCACCTTTGAAGAACAAACCATTGCATCACAGCTCCCATTCAGCTACGAGCCGTTTAAAGAGTCTTTAGAGAAAAGGGGTCTCAACATATCACAGGTTGTGTGTGGTGCCTTTACCATTGGATGGTTCGGAGAAACCAAGACTAAAAGGAACGTTAAGGTTAAGTGTTATTACACAAATGGCAATGCTAATTTTTATGCTCGGCCTTTGGAGGGAGTGGCAGCTGTGGTTAACTTGGACGACATGAAAATTGTTGGATACAATGATAGGTATGTTTTTGCGGTGCCCAAAGCAGAGGGCACTGACTATAGAGCTTCTAAGCTGAAGCCACTCTTTGGCCCGGAACTGAAGGGAATATCTTGCACGCAAAGTGGTGGACCTGGATTCATCATCGACGGCCATTCTGTAAGGTACCATTTATTCTTGGTAAAGAGCTACGAATTTCTATTTAATTTTTAAAAATAATACATTCACACGATGTTATATATATATATATATATATATATATAACATCTCGGTTCCCCATCTTCGTTTACTTCGGCTTTAGTCACCTATCAGCGATTTCGGATCATCATATATGCCAATATGAAAAAGACATTTCTTTCGCGAGGGCATAACGAGTCCTTAGGCATGAGCGGCCATGGAATTTTCTGTAGCTGTTAAAATAGTTTACGAGACACTGTTACACTTACAATGGTCGGTCATAAAGGAAACACTTCGGCCATGGACGCTACCCTACTTTGTTACCTAGTTAGTCGTTTCTTTACCCATTATGATGTGTACTCCTTCCCCCACATAAAAAAGAAAAGAAGGAAATTATACCCCTGCCATTTCCATTCTGGGTCTGTATTGTGTGGAAAGACAAAAAAAATGCAATTGATTATTAAAAGAAAGATAAAATATAGATGTAAGAAAGTAAGTAAAAATATATATTATAAAAACTCAAAAGCACTTAGCATATAAGAATATTATTGGTTTCTTACCTTCATAATTTATGTCTAATTATACAATTTTATTAACATTAATTTTTAAAATTGATTTTAGAAATAAAACCAATAAATTTTGTTTAAAATATAGAATATAATAAATATTTTTTTGTAATAAAATTATTATCAATAATTACTTAAATTTAATTCTATAAACTGTGATTAGTATTTTTTTAAAATTATATTAGAATTAGCTCTCTAAAATATATCAAGCTTATGTGCCCTAAAAAAATTAGTTTCATTTAATGTTAAAAGGATTGAAATATTCCCTTACTTTAAAAGAAACTAATATTTTGAAAAAAAAAATATTTTAGTAAAATAATATCTCGTTAATACAATTGTGTTAAATAATCAAGATATAACTATATTGTTGATATAATTTTATATACAAAGAAATGTTTATAAAACACTATTTAATATATTTTAATGATTGGTTAAAATTTATTAAAAATTGTATAAATTTTACTCTGAAATAAGTTTTTCTCTTATAATTTTTATAATTTCTAATAAATTTTAGTGATTTGATGCTTTGTATATATTGCTTTGATGCTTACCATTTTGTGTAATCAGTTGGGCGAACTGGGTCTTCCATGTGGGATTCGACGTTCAGTTTGGTCCAATAATATCTCTGGCATCAATATATGATCTCCAGAAGCAGAAATATCGACGGGTACTATACAGAGGATTCATATCAGAGCTGCATGTCCCATATCAAGACCCAACTGAGGAATGGTATTACACAACCTACTTTGACTGTGGTGAATATGGCTTTGGAAAGACTATGTCCTCACTGCAACCATTCACCGATTGCCCTGCCAATGCTGCATTCCTAGATGCATACTATGCTACTTCAGATGGTACTCCTGTAAAGATAGCCAATGCTTTTTGCATATTTGAAAAGTATGCTGGTGATATCATGTGGCGTCACACAGAAACTGCAATCCCAGATGAAGTGGTAACTTTTTTTTTTTTTACTCTTATTTTTATTCTTTTGTTCTTTTTCCATTTCCTTTTTTTTTCCTCAGTTGTTAAATATTCATTGTGATTTTGTTTTCGTAGATAACTGAGGTGAGGTCAGATGTAAGCCTAGTGGTGAGAACGGTTTCAACTGTGAGCAACTACGACTATGTCATAGATTGGGAATTTAAACCCAGTGGCAGCATCAAACTTGGGGTATGCATTTATAAACCAAGCTTTAAATGTTTTATGATGAGAGAAGTTTGGATTCTTCGTTTCTTTATTCAATTTTGTAATAGCAAATTTCGGAGATATATATATGTGTAGTGGACTCTATTTTGGGGATACTCGCTTTTTGTTCTTCGTGAATGGTACCTTCAAAAGTTTTAAAAATGATTTATTCATTCATTTTGATCTTCCTATAATTATACAGTACTTCAATCTCTTCTTACTTTATTTTTATCTCTTTAACAATAAAGACTAAAATATTCACGATTGAGACTAAAATGATGTTTTCTTAATTTAAGGACTATGTTAATAAAGCTCAGAAAAAACAGATACCAAAATAATAGTTTACTCTCTAGTATTTATTTTGCAAATTACTGTTAATCTTAACCTTTCTGCTTGTTATATTTTAAAATAGGTTGGGCTTACCGGGATATTAGGGATGAAGGCAGGGAAATACACCAACACGGATCAAGTAAAAGAGGACATCTACGGCACACTGCTAGCAGATAATACTATTGGTGTTTACCATGACCACTTCTTGACCTATCATCTTGACCTTGACATTGATGGTGAAGCCAACTCCTTTGTCAAGTCTAATTTAGAGACTGTAAGAGTGAAAGAACATACCATACCCAGGAAAAGTTATTGGAAAGTTGTAAGTGAAACAGCTAAAACCGAAGCTGATGCCAGAATCAACCTGGGGTTCAAGGCTTCTGAGCTAGTAGTGGTAAATCCTAATAAGAGGACCAAACAAGGAAATAAAATTGGGTACCGTTTGCTTCCAGGCTCAGTGGTGCACCCACTTTTGTTGACTGATGATTATCCACAAATCAGAGCTGCATTCACCAATTATAATGTATGGGTCACACCATACAACAAATCTGAGCAACGGGTAGCAGGATCATATGTTGATCGCAGCAGAGGCGATGATACTTTGGCTGTTTGTTGTCTAAGGTGTGTAAATGACTTAAATTATTAATGAGTAATCTTCTTGATCCAATTCTAACTTCTTTTTTATTAAAACAATTCAATTCTTAAATGTATGTAAAATGGTCGAATTTAGGCATTGTGATTTGAATGTGCAGGGAAAGAGAGATTGAGACTAAGGACATAGTATTGTGGTACACATTGGGATTTCACCATGTTCCTTCCCAAGAAGATTTTCCAGTCATGCCAACGTTGAGTGGTGGATACCAATTTCTTTGAGAGCAACCCGGTCCTTAAAACAAAATCACCAAAGCTTATGCACTGGCCTAGCTTCACTTCTCAACTCTAGTTGGGTAGCATTTGGCTCAAATAACTCATTGAAATAAGAAGGATTAGCAAACCATTTGATAAAGCACTGTCGTCAACCTATTTGACGCCCTAAGTTAAATTGAATGATATCCCATTCGCAGATTGCATTTAGGGGCTGAAATAGATTTGATCTACTCACAGCTTGTTTGATTTTATTTATATTATATTTTATTTTAAAAGTTAAAAACTGTTTTTAAAAAAGAAATCAAACGTACTTTGAGTCTTAACTTAATTTTTAAATGTAAGGCTGAAATCTGCTCTATTTATTTAATATAAGCTATTTTTTAAGTCTAGTATGACCAATTTTAAATTCTGACATATCTTGTAAAGTTATTTAGAAGCCTACTTGTGATAAGCCTTTTTAAAAAGGTCAAAAACTTATCCCCTAAATAAGTTAGGAGTTAAGAGGATTAACGACTTTAAATGAAATCAAGATATTATTATTATTATTATTATTATTATTATTATTACAAGCTCCAATTAAATATTTAAATAAAAGTAACACAATATTTGAATGCATAAAATTCTTTTTATTGATTCATTTTATTTCTTTTTGTAAGTTTATCATTCAAATGTAATTTAAATTAGTGAAATTAATATAACATAGTTCCCAAGAAATTATATATATATTATAAAAAAATACTTAATAATTTTTTTATCTAGTTATTAAAAGAGTAAAGAATATTTTAAATAATTCTTTATAAATATAGAGTACAATATTCTTTAATTAAAGTATCCAATATATTATTTTCTATTTCAGGATTAAATCGATTCCTCCTTACTAATATTATTAGAAAATGTGATTAATTGGTAGCTTACAATCAATAATCGATTAACAGTAAACATCAAAGTTGGGCTACAAGCGGGTTAAGTCAATTTAAACTTTATCTTAAGCAAATCAAATTTATATTTTAAATAAAAATTCTGAATTTAACTTATTTATTTAATTTAAATAATTTTTATGACTTGACATATTTTTAAAAAAAAATTAACCTAACAAGAAAAGCATAGCCATAAACATCTTCATATATCCACTATTCATCATGAATTTACAACTATAACAACACCTATATACAGCTGAAATGGCACTGGGCAAGCTTTGGTTGATCGAAGTCGTAGAATCAGAGCTCAAGTTATAATTAATAACCACCGACATAACAGCATAGAGAAGATTACATCAGGATTGGATAAAACAACAAAATGAAGTGTATATAACATTTGGTTACAACATTTGCTCATCAAACAGTTGTGGAGCACCAACTTCTGAATTTCCTTCCAACATCTTTATCACTTTTCTAATAGATGGCCTTAGAGTTGGGTTAGGACAAAGGCACCACAATCCAACCATTGCCATTCTCTCGAACCTGTTAAAATCGTTCACAACTTCAACATCATGGCTCACAATGTCTCTTAAATTCCCTTCTTTAGCCCAATACAGAACCCAATCTATAAGTATCATGTCATCACCACCTTCACTTCCATCTTCAATTTGATGCAACTCAATGTGCCTTCTGCAAAATAGGATTTCTAGCAACATGACGCCAAAACTGTAGACATCCACTTTTGCAGTGACAGGTGCATTTTTGAGCCATTCTGGTGCCAAATATCCCATTGTCCCTCTTACACTTGTGCTCGTTTTAGTCCCGTCTTTCATTAGTAACTTTGCCAGTCCAAAATCTGCAATTTTTGCAGTGTAATTTGAGTCAAGAAGAACATTTTGTGGCTTTATGTCACAGTGGATGATCTGGGGGTCACACTCTTCATGCAGGTACAACAAGCCTCTAGCAATTTCAAGAACAAATTTGGCTCTACGCTCCCAACTGGGTTTATCTTCGTCCTTAAAAAGAAAATTGGACAGTGCCCCATTTCTCATCATCTCATAAACAAGAAGACGATGATTCTTCCCATTGCAGAAACCCAACAGCCTCACAAGATTCTTATGATGAGTCATACCAATTACTTGGACTTCATTAACAAATTCTTTCTCACCTTTTTCCTCTACCTGTTCCAGTTTTTTCACAGCAACCTCAACCTGTTCACCCTCCAAGCTCAAAACCCCACTATAGACCGAACCAAAGGCTCCATGGCCAAGCATGTTCCTGAACCCGTTTGTTGCTTCTCTCAACTCTTGGAACGAAAATGCCTTTAGGTTGATGTCCACAGGCTTTGGCTTTGGGGGTGCCTCTTTCTGCATGAGATGGCGAAATGTTGGGTGATGATATATAGCAATAGTTGCAAACACAATAGCAAGTAAGGAGCATGCTGAGAGGGCTATTAGCAAACTGACTCGAGAAGGTGAATCATCATTTTCATTGTTTTTGTGAGCCTGAGGAACTTTAATCAGTGCTACACTATTGCTAGTTGCAGGAATGCTTATTCTGGCTGTTGCAATAGGTGTCCTTTTCTTATAACAAACCGAGTTAATCAGAACACCAGCCATACAGAAACAATCATCCATCACTTCCTTCTTGCAACTGTCCAAATCAGAGGAATCTAATCTTTGCAGATCAAAGAATTCATCGTTTGGTATGTCAGAATCTTGAATTTCTACCACTGTATAGTCTGATGCAGAGGAATTTGCAGAACACAAATCCATGGCCACACTGGGATAGCACCCTTTAGAGGGAACACTTGGATCAAAGGGTGTGTATCCAGGCAAACATGTGCAATTGACTGTAGTGTTGTCAGGTGAAGTGCAAAGGCCATAGACCCCACAAATGGCATTTACTGTACAAGGCTGTGTTATGGCCTCCCATATAACTCTCCACGCATGGTTTCCACTTTCTTTAAGGTAAATCAGCTGTTGAAAATTTCCAAGATAGTTGATCACTGCTCTATGATAGTAATCTTCAACTGGGTTTGGCACTTCCGTGGCTGTGGTCATGTTATATATGTTGTGTGTGCCATTGACAGCATATAGAAATGTTGTTATGTTGTTGAAGATAAGTCTCACACTTGTGTTATCTTTTGTGGAAGTGTACCAATATGAAGGACCCTCGAACCGAAAAGCAGTGAGAATAATGTTGCCATCAGGTTGAATCTCCAACTTGTATTGCCCGGTTGAGTAGTCTTGTGTTCCATTGGCATTGGAATAGAGTGCCTGACCCATATTCAAAGTTTGGCCCGGTAGAATAGTGTTTGTTGGAGAATCAAAACTTTGCCAGATGATGTTTGAAAGAGAGTTCATCAAGATGAAATTCCCATCATCATGCATCATAGCAGCAGTTGCATGTGTACCATTGTAGATTGGAAATGAAGCCTTGTTCGGATGTTGCAGCATAAATTGACCACTCAATGTAAGAGTGATGGATGAGCCAATTTGAGCTGGATCATCACGGTTTGCAGACCAAACCAGTGTTTTCTGTGGAATCTTATCAAACCAAATTCCAACAAGATAGTGACCAGTACCAAGAGGGTAGAACCCAAAAGCAAAATCACCAGAGAGCGATCGCCATGATGAATTAGTGCCAGCAACAAGGCTAGAGCCTAATTCAATCGAATTGTTGGTGCTTCTTTGAGCTCCAGAGTAGAAGGAGAGCAGAGAAAGAGCCACAAAATAACCAAGGAATTTAGTGGTTACATCCATTCTTTGGCAGAGAAGAAAGATCACAGGATATGGCTAATGTGGTAGAAGTTGAAGTTCATTTTGTACTTGTTTCACATGCATTGTGATCATCATGGTTGGGGAAGAGTCTTGCAAGTGGGCCAGTTCTTGAAGGAAAAATTCAGATAGGCTCAACTGTGCGCAATCCCCTTCAGTACGTAACAATGTGAAATCTTTGATTGAAACAACCCAAAAAAACAACAAAAGTTGTATAAGGTGCTACTGAAAGACGTAAATTATTGTTCCAAGTCCCATACATAGGAAACTTACTGGCTAATATAATAAGCCTAGTCCAACTTTCCCATCTTAAGTCAAAATACAATGCACAGGTGTCATAATTCCTTGATTATTTAACCATTTGTTCATCGCTAATACTGACTCGAGAGGTAGGTGACGCCAAAGTCACAAACAATTTTTTACGCTGTTAACTTTTAAATTGTATAAATTTATTTACCTAGCTACCTTATGTATAAATTTAACTTTTATTTAAAAAGGTATTGTAAGAATCATGGAGGTTTTTAATATTACGTCATAACAATTAATTCGAAAGGTCGGATAGTTTAAAAAAGATATGTAAATAGTTTTATTACATCTCTAAACATATGATATTAGCTTTTGTCTCTTAAATGTGTGCTAAAACGTACAATATTTAAAATTATATGAATTAATAATACTAAATATTATAATCTTTTATAAAAATTCAGATTTAGAAATCCCTTTTTTTTATTTTTCTGCTTTTGACTAAAGATGTCATGTATAAACCAGTCGTCTAGCAGACAGCAGATGAGTTACGGAGCATGACCGGAAGTTGACTTATGTTTTTCACTCAATTTTTATGGAAAGTAGGCAGCATTTTTGTTCATTCTCTCCTATTTTAGAGTTTTTTACATTAATAAAATAAAAAAAAATAAATATTACATGTATATACCAAATTAAAAAGTTTTATAAAAATATCTTAATTTACATTATACAAAAGTTTATTAAAATTAATTTTATTATTATCATAATTATACGTATTACATAAGTCAATTTAAATTGATTCTAACAAGATAACGTAAAAATCAATAGTTGGCAACATGCGATACTCCAATCATCCACGGTAAAGTAGTAAAGGACCCATTAACTTGATCATGGCTTGGAATGCCTCAAGCTTCTCTTTCCATTTGTCCTAGTTAGCTTCTTCCCAACCTTTCTAGAGTAGAGTTGTTCGAGCAACAGAACCACAGCTAACAACGCCTTTCAATTGAATCTCAGGACCCTCTTTTCTTCACTATCTTCCAAAACCACCGCCAACAATGAATTTGACAATACCACAGTCGCAACTAACCCCTTAGACACACTCTAAGGACTATTCATATGCAATTCTTTTCAATATTACATATTGTTTGTCAATATTTTTTTAAACGTTATTTTTACGTTTTACTGTAAATCGACTTATATAATACGTATAACTATGAAAGTAATAAAGTTGATTTTAATTGAATTCTGTATAATTTAAATTAGAATATTTTTGTAAATTTTTTTAATTTAATGTATACATATCATATTCGATTCTTTTTATTTTATTAATGTAAAAAAACTCCTTATTTTATTTGTATTTATTGCTCATCCTTTTTTAAAATAAAAAGTGATTCAAAGGCTTTGTGTTAGGCGGGTCCTTTTCGTGTTGGCGGGGCTGAAAGTACTATCGGCTCTTCTAATGGATGATGATGATGATTATGATTAAAAATGTAAAATATTTTTTATCAGTCCTGAAAATAGAAAACAGACAAAACTAAAATTAAGAAAAGAACAAAATATTGGAATTTTCTTGATCATTTTTTCTTACATATTGCTTGTCTAGATGGTGTGAAGTGGCTTCCATTGTTAGTTTTAAGTAATTGTGATTTTCAAGACAAAAAAAAAAGAAGTAAATGTGGTTTTCTAAAACATTGTGGTTTGATGATTCATTTAAAATAAATAAATAAAACTATCTATTTAATTTGTTTTCCAATCAAAATTTACTTTTAATCATTCAATAGTTTTTCTTTATATTTAAATTCATACAATAATTTATCACATTTATATCACTTTTAAGTTTTAATTGTTGTAAAATTCATAAAGAGTTAATAATATATTTAGATAAGTTTATTTGAGAAAATATTTTTTTGATAATTTTATGAGAAATATTTTACAAATTAAATGATAATTTTTTAAAAAAATATATCATCTAAACATTTGTGTGATATAGATTTATTTTTAAAATAAAAGAATAATTTGAATACATTGACGATATAGCTATTTTTACACTATTATCCAATAATAGATTCTCTTATTGGCAAAATTTATTTTTTATAATAATAATTAATATAAAAATAATATCTACAATATATTTTAATTGATTGATAATGTAAAAATCTTTACATTAATAGTACATTAAAATTAAACTCAATAAAAAATTGTGAATTTAATATCAACAAAGTTACATTTATTTTATAAAGAACTATATGTAGTTAAATTTTCTATAACTAAAAAAAGGCATATGATGTAGTTTGTCTTAAGTTTAGGAGATAACAATATAATTTATTTTGGGTAAAAGAAATTTTTAAAAAATGTCATTCTTAAGTACAAATAATTTTAAAAAATAAATCGATTATATCATTTAAATAAACTTAATTTTAATTAAATTTATTTTGAAAATATCATTCTTAAGTACAAATAATTTTTTTATAACATTAATGTTTTCAACATCAAATTTTTCAAAAGCTACTCATAATGACACCCGTGAATAATCTCTTTGATCAATTAATTAAAAGAAAAATATTTGAAAATATTTGAATCCCTTTCGATATACATTATCATGGAAATACAAAATATTTGGAATCGAAACGATCAAAATAGTCATTTGAAAATGAAAGTCTTCACAGTTTTAAAAGATATCATATGGAGCACTTTGGACATTTTTTAATTCTCATAGAATTCCAAGTATTCAAATAATTTAACATAGTAGAGGGAAAATGAAAATAAACTAGTTTCCCTTAATTTCACTTAATTTTTTGTTCAAGAACATGCTTACACTTTAAAATATTGAAAGAACAATAAAAGTGTAAGTTTTTATTGTACTTTTCATCTTGTTTTGATTCATGAATAATGCTTGGCTATTGGTTTGGTTAATTAGATGAACATGCTTGTATAAATTAGAGCTATTAGCATTATTCAAAGCAATGGACTACTTTCGAAAAAGTTAGCAGGCCTCAGCTCAAATCCACCATGAATTGCTGGCATTGCTGGAAAATCTTCTTGATAAGGAATGTGATGGATCCCAATTGTGTGCCATAGCACTATGTCTGTATTCTCAATCTCTCTGTTCCTGCGTGAATCACGATCATCCACTTGATCAAATTAGAAATCGGTAATGCAGTTCAATCCACGAGTTAACTGAAAAAAAGTAACTATATGAAAGTACACACACTTCAAACCTTTTCTTGTAAGTGAAAATAATGGAATTAGACAACATGGTATTTTAATGCGTACAGACAATCTTTCATTAATTTCTTTTTACCTCGTAATTATCATTTTCATAAGCATAAATACTATTCACGGTTTTTATTTTTGTTTTTCTTACCTAAGATTAAGAATGAATTAATAAAAAAATTGTGACTAATTGAGCCATTGTTTTTTATAGAAGTATGTTTAAATAAAATAAAATAAAAGGGTCTAATTAAGCATGCAGAAAAAAATATGAATTTTGAGTAATTTTTAATTAAAACAAAATTTAAATTTTATCACACTAATATGAAACTATTGCATTAAAATATTCTCTTGTGTAGTTTACCTCTGGCTCCAGACGGCTAAGCCATCATCTCCACGGCTCCTGTCAGCATAGAACCCTGCAGCCCATCTCTCTGACTTGTTATAGGGAGTGACCCACAACTGATACTTTGTGTAAGAAGCTCTTCTTTGAGGGAAATCATCATCAGACAAGAGAGAAGTAACCGGTTGTGCACTGATCAGCCGGTAGCCCACTTGATTCCCCAGCTTAGTCCTTCTGTTGGGGTTGACTATTAAAAGATCAGCTGGCTCCAAGCCGAGCCGAATTCTACCCTCGGCTTCCCTCTTTGCAATTTCTCTGACAACTGTCCAGTAACTCTTCCTTGGTGTTCCAAAGCCAGTTGCCGTTTTCTTCTGTATCTTGGCATTGATGAAGGAGTTGCTGTTATCATCGATGTCAAGGTCAAGATAGTAGGTTATATAGTGATCATGATAATTAGCTATTGTATTTTCTGCCACCAAGGTTCCAAACACACTTTCTTTTATCTGACCGTTCTCTGTGTAGGGTACTGCTTTCATCTCCATTATGCCTGTCAGATCCACCTATGCATGATTAAATAAACTATTTTAGGGAAAGTGTCATTTTTGTTTGACTTAAACTAGACAAATGTATATATCAAAAATATCATATGTTATCGTAAAGCGTAGTCATTCTTTTGTAATTGAATAATAACAAATTATAACAGAACAACCGATAAGAACCAAAATAATATAACTTGTGTCATACATCTTTGACATTAGTTATAAAATTCATCAAGAGGGGTGGAAGTATGGGTAATGCTAATTTTCCAAATTCCCAAGTATACGCACTATGGCAGAGATCATTTAAGAAAAGGTATTTTAAAATTGATTGATCCACACTGAAACTAAAATTGAGTTCTATTTCCTTCCCTAATTCAACCAATTGCATGAGCTCCTATAAGATAGAATGCCCTATTATGAATCTACTCAGAAAACTTGGTAGAAGAATCTTACCCCAACTTTTATACTGCCACTTCTCAGAAATTCCCAATCAAGAACATAATCGTAGTTGCCCACAGTAGCAACCATTCTGACCACCAAAGTAATTTCAGGCTCTCCATTTCTTATCTACAGAAAAACAGCAAAGTGTGTTCACAGCAAAACAGAAATTCCAAATACTTAAAAACAGAAGTGAAAACAAAGTCTAAAAACTTACCATTTTGATGGGGTTGTTGATTTCCATGTGCCTCCAAGCTACATTGCCGGAATGCCTCTCAAAAATGCAAATAGCACTGGGTACTTGTTGCACTTCTCCATTAGGTCCAGCCATATAGCCATCCATATACTCTGCATTGCCCGGGCAATCAAGCCTCAGTTGCAAGCTATCAGCTGCACGTCCAAAACCAAATTCTCCAGCATCCATGAAAGTCCTGAAATACCATTCATTTGTAGGATCCATGTAAGGAACAAATGTCTCAGATACATGACCCCTATATAGCACTCTTCTATACTTTTGCTTTTTGGCATCAAATATAGAAGCAGTTGATATGATCATTCCTGCCCTAGCATTGAACCCAACATGGAAAACCCAATTAGCCCATTTGACTACATGGTCTTTGATGGTGAACCCAATATCTGATACATTACAGGAAGCAGAAATTTTAGGCCTGCTGCTACTTGAAGATTGAAAATCTGTCCCTTCAGCTTTAGGCAAAGGGGCCCTGTACCTGTCATTATACATAATAATTTGCATTGAATCAACATCAACTAGCACTGTGATTCCCTCAATAGGCCTTGCCCACACATTTACTGATCCTCCCCTATAAAAGCATACCACTTTGAGGGCTCTCCTTGTGATTTGTTCTCCATACCAACCAATGGTAAATGGTACACAAGAAACTGCAGACAAATTCAAGCCCCTTTTGGCTATTGACTCTTTGAATTTGGGATATTTAAGTGGCAATTTGCTGGCTTGAAAAAGCTCACGGAATGTCAAAGGAGGGTATCCATGACCTGTGTAGATTTTATCCGATACAATGGACCCTCTTGTTAAGTCCACTACAAGCTCGTGTGTCTCACCCTTGGCTCGAACAACTACCTTGGCTTGGCGAAGAATAATAGACTCGTCCTTTGTATTTGAATTTAGCCACTTTAGGACATCCTTTTTGTCTGGTTCCTCCACATCCACAAAATGATAGGTCAGATTAGGAATAACACCAAGGTAAGATCCTTGAACTATGTCCCTTGTTTTGTTGATTTCAGAAGGTGAGAGAGGGTCTAAAGGGTGAGGCAAACTATTAATGGAGCTGAATCTCAGAAAAAAGGCTAGAACTACACATTGAGCAAACATCGGTGCTGTTTTCTCAAACGTTGATGTGATCATGTTTTCCATAAAACTGTTGACGTTGGGATATATAGTACGATAAGACCTCCATGTTGCATTTATAGAACCAATTTTGTGTCATATGGAAACGAAGAATTCTGAAGTGTATCCTAATTTATTCCAAGGGGATTCCATTACTTTAAAAGGAATGTTAGCAGCACATCTTTTTCCTCACGTTCTTTATTGTTGAGGTGGACATGATTTATGTTGAGGTTATTGATTTAATCTTCATTATTAAAGAAAAAAGACTTTATTTTAGAGCAGGGAGCAGCACAAGTTTGAATTTCAGCAATATCTGTATATATGTTCTTTCCTTGCATTCACAGAAAGAATAATTGATTAATTTGATTGCTTTACCTCTTCAGTGAAACAAAAGAGATGTGATCACTCGCGTGCTTATCGTTGACGACATATGTTGCTCTTTCTTAATGAACCACGTGAAATTTGAGTTTTAACTTCTAAGAATGATTAATACTTGAGCAAGCAGTAAATTACTCGCTTTCTCTGATAAGGTAAGATTATGCATCATTGCTTTAAGAATGACTTGATAATTTGGAACATTATAAACAATTATTTTAATATCCGTAACATTCTTATAATTTTTAGTCCAATTGATATCTTACTGACTTTATTCAATGGAATACTTAATTGGTTTTTCAAAGATATAACGAACTTCAAGTTGGTTCTCCGAAAATTTTAAATGTAGTTTGGTCCTTCATAGTGTTATTTACCTTTTATATAATTCAATACAAGAAATATTACCATAATCATTGACATCAAATAAAAAATTAAGTACTTAGTCTATGTAAGAGTAAATACTTATCAAATTAATGTGCAGAGATATCTTTCCATTTTAAACAGAGAGACAATTGACATATAAATATTTAGATGAACAATTTAAGTATTTAATTTAATAAAAGAAATCTTACCCGAATCATTGACATCAAATAAAAAATTTGAATAGAAATTCCCGCAGAAATCTTATTTACATTATTCTCAAACCAAAATAATGGAATTTTGACATGTGGTTACAGGTGGGAAATATATCACGTCATGACAGATAGCCGGCTAAACAAACACATGAAGCTTTGACTTTCAAATTGTCGAGGATAATAATATTCAAAGTTCAATTAGTGGATGCTCTAAACTAAAACCATTTCTTTGAATTACGAGAATTGAGATGGATTGTTGTTGTTCATAGTTTGTTTGTATTACGAGATATGCTTTTCATTACTGTTTCTTTAAAGCAAAACACACTAAAATAAACATATAATATAGTGTAGACCGTATTTAAAGATAATCAAGAGCAAGTTGTACGTTTGATATCATTTCATACATACATAACAACACCGGATTGATCTTAAAGCAAATGAGAGAGAAAGAGAAAAATGACCGGATAAAAAGAAAGTAAAAATTGAACAGAAACTTCTCTTTTTTGGACTTAGGTGGCAGCCCAAATCCACTAGATACCTTTTTTTCTAAGTTGGGCCTAGAAAAAGAGAGATCTTTATTCGTGGACAAAAAGAGTTATATTCTTCTTATGCATGTTGATTAAAATAGATATTTTTATAATTTATTTTAATACTTTTTTCCTGTTATATTAATGTTGTCTTAAATGTTATTATATTTCTTTTTCTTCTTATCTCCCGTCTTGGTGATAAAAAAAATTGTATTGTGAGTGAGTTATTTGTAATATCTAAAATAGTGGGAGTGACACTACTACGGAAGCACAGGCAGAGTTTTTGTCGAGATGTGATGGAGAATCTGGGGCTAAACTACAAAGGTGAGATTAGGGAGATGTGAAAGTTGAAACTTTGCTAACATCATCTCACTTGGAGTAACAGAAGCCTTGACTCCTAAACGACACCTGCTACTCGACAACTGCCCCAATCCCCAATATACGACACCCAATCTATTCATTTTCCTTCCACTTCGCTCCTCCCAACACAAGCCAAGAAGCTCCACCACTGTTTCCATTCATTTTCAAATTCCCTATAGCCTATTTTTGTCTTCCAATAATAAAATATATTGTTTTATAAAAAGTATATATCATTATATATACTCGTACTATGAGACAGAGAGGGAAAAACAAATTTACGAATAAAAAATATAATCAAAATAGAAATAAAAAGTAAAAGTGTTATACAGTTTTTTTATATATACACATAATACTATTTAACTTTTATATATACTTTTTCCGTCAAATTTATATATTTCATGTTATAATTCTCTTTGAAATGCACAACACAAACTTGTGAAAGTGGAGGGTGGAGCTTCATGGGGTGGAGTCGTGAACCGAACCCTGTAAGGAAGGTTCACAGGCACAGCACACTCCATAGCTCTTGTTTTGACTTCTCATTCAGACAACAAAACCCCGACACATATTCCTACCAACTCTCATCGTACAACTATTATTGCAAACCGCCAATAAAATACAACCACTACCGTACAATATCAAAATTTTCAAACTCCTTCCTCCTTTTCATTATTATGAACAAAGAAAGTCCAACCCATTTTTCTACAAAAAGATTCCATTCTCAAATTTTAAATCAAATTACAAAGATCAACGTTGTCGTTTCATTTTCAACGCTTTTCCAATCTTGCTCTACTATTTCCCACCATAGCAAATATTACCAACGCGCAGTTCAGAGTTCGCCGTTTCGACCACGCTCCCTTCTTCCCAAGCAATTGCCGTTGCCCCCTCCAAACCCCCAAAAATAAACATATACTGCACGCCGTTTCATACCCCGCCTTGCACGTCGTCGTTTTTTTATTCTTTTACTTCAACCCTCTAAGCTCCGAACTCTATAACCTAGTTAGCGTCCACTGTTGACATTCAATGCAACCAACCGCACGAGTGAACTTGAAAATTGAAATTCAGGATCAAAAACGAATTAATGTCTACTTAATAATACTAATACATTCAAATATACTCATATGTACTGAGGGCAAAGAAAAAAAAGAAAAAAATGGCAGTGGTAATTGTGGGCGTTGATTGCGGTGTATTTAGAATTAAAATTAGAAACGCTGAGAAACTGAAACGTGACGTCTTCTCATGTGAGGGGAAACAATGGAAATGAGGCCACCGAGTGGGGGCCTCATCTTTGACCTATAAACCATTTCGTCGTAAGGTCTTCTGTAGAACTTCACATACGGCAAGAAACATTCCCGGGACCTTTCTACCCTGCCGGAAGCGTGACTCTCTCGCCGGAAGAACGTCGCCGGCGATTGAAGGAAAGAGGTCCGAGGTGGAGCCGTCACGCGCTGCGGCAGCGGCGTAGAGGGGAAGAGGCCCTTTCTGGTGGCTGGGGGGCCGCGGGGGGTCCTTGCGACGGGCGATGCGAAGGAGAGGGAGCGCGCGTTGAGGGGCGAGATGAGTGCGGGTGAGGGGCTCGTGGGTCCCACTTTAGATGCTGACGTGTCGGTTAGACTCAGGTACCAGGGCTTCAACGAGTCCAAATGATGCGATACGGTGAAGGAGAAGCGCGATGAGGAGCACGCACCCATCTTCACCGTTGGTTTCACGCTTGAGCTCTCGAATCGAAGGGACGAGGCTCGAGGGTACGCCGCGAAGTCGTTGAAGTCCAGCGATTCTTCGAAATCCAACGATGATACCACCGTCGTCCACGCTGACAGCTCAACGAACGGGCGAACACCCTGCATTGCATCGTATAATCAACACACCAAACATCATTAATTACTCTTTTAATTCAAGGCTATAAGAAATTAACAAATATTTCTTAAAATTCTAAAATTTAACGTTAGTAATATATTCAATTTTGTTACATCATCCTATTTTAATAAAAAAATTAATACTTATAAATTTTAATTATGTGTCAGTTTAAAAAAAACCGTCAATCTAATTACAATTAATCTGCGTTATTTCTTTGTGCAAAGATTTGTTTGCTTTTTTAGGAATTATATTAAATTAAATTGAATGGTACTACTACAAACAAGTCGTGTACGTCTTTTTCAATTCTTAGCCAAAACAATAGTGTACCCAGGTCGTACCCTATAATCTAACCCCAGACAAATAAAGTAGGTTTTCAATTTCAATACGATATGACACTTGAGCTATATATATACTATATGGTTAGTGGTTACATTTGAATTTATGATGATCTTGAACAGTAACGGGACAAATTGTAATTGGATTTTGAAAGGAAGTGCTTTTTGTGCATGGGAATTTTTTTTTTTTAATTATATGGACTAGGTTTGGATGTGGTATAAGCATGGTGATGAGGGTGGACCACCTAAAAACAAGGGCGAGTGGTCCTTGGTCAAACAAAGGAACATGCATTGATGCGATGATATGATGATGCTAGAAAGGGTGCAGTGTATATCCAACGCACAGCAGAGCGAGACCAAACTAGAATGTGGTCTAACTGTTGGAGTTTAACTGGCACTGGCTGAACAGTACATGGTAGACTACCAAAATTAGGTAGGTAAAGATTTTGAATTGTGTTTACCTTCCATAAGTAAGCGAAAAGCGATGGAGGGTCTATGACAAACGCTTTGCATAACCGGCCTGGGTAGTACTCGGCCACAATTTTCAGTGCTGCTAGCAACCAGTTCATAAAAGCAGATGCTGACCTGTAAAAGCCTGTAACCAAGCAGGTAGCAACCCCGTTAATTATTCCATATTTCCCAAATATATATTCAGTCTTGAAATTTGCTCGTGCTTCACTAGTTTAATTTGGGTAATTAAGTTTGAAAATGTGATGATAATATATAAAATTCGGCTGAGTAAAAAAGGTAAAGGGTACTGTCAAAAGCTAAAAAGGAGAATCATGGGTTGTTCCTCTGAAGCCTTGTGCTGCTGCAATAGCATAATTTAAGGAAGCATTAAAGATTGAAATGGACCAATTCTGATAGAGAATATCAATAATGACTCCAATTCCCAATAATGCCCTTTCTAACATGGCCATTAATTGAAGCCTATATAGTCTGTGACATCTCAGGGGCACTCCGGACACTTTCTGTGAGCCCCTCAGGCCCTGCCGGTGATCCTAACAGAGTTCCATATCCCTGCCCTCTCATTTATTGTTCTGATCCCTCAATCTTTTCTGTTTCATTCTGATTTCGTTTACTCCTTTTACTTGTTTTGTTTTTGTATCAATAATATGCTAGCATGTTCTTTCAAATGGCATTATGGATATTTGAGTAACGCAGCCAGGTGCACTTACTTGCATCGAAAAGCATCACAAATTGTTCTACGTTTTTTGGCATGGTCGAAATGGCCACCTCTAGTGTAAAGGCCAGCAAACGAGTGAACCTTCAGGATTATAAACAAAAATAAATAAATAAATACGCAAAAACATGGTTCCTCTTGGCAAATGAAAAAAAAAATCTGTTATAATAGCAGAAACGAAATTCTCAAAGGGTTGCAAAATTTCTCCTCTCTTACATTTTCTGGGAATGCAACTTCTGATAGTCTTGTTTCAACCGGAAAATCTGTCGCCACCCCAATTCAAATCAGAACTTTTATGTTAACGCACGAAATAAAATATTAAAAATAATGATAAAAAAAAGTGCACAAGCCCGAAGTCAGAAAAATCTAAAAAAGGGTAATAAAATTACCATAACAGGTCTGGATTCCTCGTCATGACCAGCCACATAAGCCAACCCATCAGCCAGTTCAGCAGAGAAATCATCTGCTATCAAATGATCTGTTTTCAAAACCCCAAAAAAAAAAAAAAATTCCCATCAATGAAAATCAGTAATTACATATCATAATTTCAATAAAAATAAGAAAAACCAAAAATAAAATAAAAGCATTATTTTTTCTTTTGAGTGTGTGGTTTCGGGGTATGGTCGGGGAAAGAAAAAGGGAGAGGCCTAATGATTACTAGGGAGGGGGGTGCGTTTTACTTTTAACGTTTCATTCAAAGGGAAGGGAAAAGCAAGATTCTTTGGCGAGAGAAAACAAAAAGAGAAGTCGGCGTGGTTGCAGGTTTCACAACGGGTAAAAGCTTTTGCAAGGAAAAAAAAAACTAAGGGAATGAAGTGAGAGCCAGGAGAAGAAGAAGAAGAAGAATTAGTGGAATATACCATTGATAACACTCTCTCTCCAAGAAAGACAAGCCTTGAGTTGCTTCGCAGCCTTCTTTACATTATCCCCTTTTGTTTTCAGAAACCGCTTCACACAAGCATAGTTGCAAAACTTCTCCTACACACGAGAACAAACAAAGCCACAAAATTTGTTATCTTTCAAATAGATGAAAAAAAAAGTGAACACTTAACACTACTTAACCTGTGACTATTTACTCACTGTGCTGAAACAACAGTGTTAACTAACCAAAGGTGCAGAGAAAAACCTGCTTGACAGTGAGAGGGGTTTGTTTTCTGAGGAGCTCAAGAACAGCTTCAACTCTGGCTGTCTCCTTGTGATCTCCCAGCTCAGTTTTCTTCCCCATTTCGAGAATGAAACACAAACTTAGAAGGTGATGCGTTCGCAATAATTACCAAATCTCGAACAAGCTAGCTAGAGAACAGAACAGAACGACTATTATTCCAAACTTCTGCTTCACGCAACCATTAATAAAAGGGAAGCCTTATTGTTGCTGAACTAAGAGGAAAGAGAGAACGTTGAAGGGAGTGAATGTAATGTGAGGGAGGAACTTGGAGTCTTTATTTATAGCGAAACGACGGCACATAACGCCGTTACGTAGCGAGGTAAAACTAAAAGGCACATGTATGAGGAAGGCTTTTTGAAAACGTCAACACTTGTTACGCTTGAGACTCCACAGTGTTTTTTGGGTCAATGTCCCAAAATGGGTCCCCCACTCACCACCGCAATGATGTCCCCGACAGGGATTCGTAACGGAAAACGCTGACTTTGCGTTATTAAACTCCTTACTCTTTCTTTCAATTTTGTTAATTCCATAACAATTTCCTTTTGCCCTTTTAACTTAGCCAAGGATGTGCCCAAAGTTGAAACAGTAATTACGAACAAAAATGTGTGCTAGAGACAAGGTCAAATTAGCTTACGTGCAGATTTAATATTTTTGGATGAGATTTAGAAAAATAAATAAAAGTTATAGATCATTAACAGAAATCAAACGCACGTCTTCTACGTTTGTGTAATTCAATTTACCAAATTGACCCGAATTTCGTAGCTTCGTTTGGTCTTTTCAATTCTTTTTTTTAAAGCTTGGCATTTTCTTCTTACCATTCCTTACGCCATTTTTATTTAACGAAAAAAAGGTTTTAAATTGTATACTCGGGTATTTTAATTTTAATAAATGTGTAGGGGTAAATTAATAAAAATATATGTAAATAAAATTATTATTATTATTATTATCTCACTGCATACTAATGTTAAGTGTTCCTAGAGTATTGATTTAAGAAATAAATTTGAAAATTATTATTTGACAAAAATATTACATTAATAATAACAAAATCATCAATATTTATATTAACTAAGTAATCAAAATTGATAAAATATATTAAATGCTTCTTAACTATATCTTGACACTCAATGACTAAAACAGTACTCTTTATTGCATAAACTGGTTCTGCCCCACCGCACCAATTTTCTTTAATATTGTGTATTGTTGTAGTAAGAAGTTTTATTTATGTTACTGAAACAATATATAGATTACTTACCAGCGACCTCATAACAAATCGAGAATCTAATATGTACCATAAAAGGATTGATATAATTTTCATTTAAGAATAATTAAATTATTGATATAAATATTGTAATATTTTCTAACAACATGACATACTATATTAATATAAAAAAGTTGATATAAATGCATTATTTATTTCAAATTTTAATGTCACGCATCGTATTTAGATATAGACCAGTTACACGCACATGCATACATGTATAATAATCATTTAATTTTTGGTAAAAAAATACTAATAAAAGTAATTATATCGTTTAATATTTTTGTTTGTAACATATGACATGTTTTTAGTGATAAATATAACTTTGGTGCCATATTTGTCGGTCCTTTTTATCTTCTTGTTTCGGGTTGAGAAATTATTTAACAGAGGGAGATGCATATATTCCTTTCCCCGTGTAGCAGCGGCAAAGTGGCATTGAATTTTCATAGTGACAGTTCAATAATGATGTGGGTGAGACCGGGAGTGTGCTGTGTACAGCGCAGGTAAGAAGGGAAAGGCTGCAGTGATGGATTAGGCTGAATAGGAGTGGAACTGTTGAAGAGTAATTACATGAACAAGTACATTATCATTTTTTTGGAAAATGGGATGATAGGGAAAGAAATAAGGGTAACTGAGTAACAGAGTAAGAGGCCAAAACAATACCCAGGCACGTGAACGGATATTGCGGGATAAGTAAACGTATGATTAGCATATGTAAAGTGTTACAGAGAAAGAAGTGGATGATTTTGTTTGTACTAACTTCCTTACTCATTGAAAATAATAGAGCTACTAACATTTTTTCCCTATCTACCTATCAATCTAGCTATGTATCAGCTATAGATAGCTTCCTTGTGATTTTGTGAACTGTGGTTGGTTCGTTCCTTTGCGTGTGTGAAAGAGTCGTGTATAGTGTTGTTGTTGGCTTAGAAGTAGAAAACGGTGAATCCCACTTTTCTGCTCTCAGATTGTTCTTATTGCATGGAGGGTTAAAGAGAATATTCATTTACCATCACCACCCTCTGTTTAGATTTGATAGGAGATTCTCCTCTTCTTTTTAACTTCTTCGTACAACTACGTTGGTAACTCTTTTATCTTACCCTTTCTTTATCCATGCACTCAACTTTGGATACTTGTGTGAATCATTTGAGTGTTACATGTGTACATTATTTGTTCAATGATTATTGTCGAATATAAGAATCTAAGTTTGTTTCCATCAATCCGTTACTCATCTATCGATGTCATGTATGCATCAACAATGAACTAGAGAAAACATGAAGTCTACATTTTACTAGTTTCTAGTCGGAAAAAAATCCAGCCTAAGTGATTTATTCAAATCAATTCTCTTTCAAGTTGGTATGCAATTAAGGAAAAAGATTATCTATTAATATCAATTAATTGCATTTTCAGATGATATCATGGCAAGCTAATTTTTAAAACCCTAATTCATCGTGATTTGAAGCACATGCAATAATTAACAAATCCAGTTTAAATTAACTGACAAATTACGAAACAAATTAATTCGTATAAGCTCGCTAGATCCACTACCCACCCACACCAAAAAAAGGAAAATGAAAGAAAGAAAATAAAAGAAAAAGCCTGCTTACTGACTCGGGAGGAGGAGAATGTTTGGCGAGGTGGGTAAGTAAGCAAAAGGAGGAGTAATTTGCTTCTTCTAATGAATGACAATCATAGGTTTTTACTTTTTGCATCATGAATGACAAAGAAGTACGAACGAGGAAGTTTGTATGAATGGATGCAAAATAATGCATGAAATAAATTAATTGGCGCAATAAATCACTCGTCCTCAATCCTCATGCACACCTTATACTATTTATTAAACACACACTGTGGTTGGGTGACAAATGCTTGTGAAAACAGTGTTGGCAGACACACACGGAGAACATTGTGTTCAACACACAAAATTAACTTAGTTCCATAAGTCAAAACCTTGATACTTGTTTTCCCATGCTATTTAATAAAGAAACTCACATAGTAAATGATACACTAAATAAGTCCCATGCTCATAGAAGTTCAAGCTCCGTTGTCCTTACGGCGGTGACCCACCAAAGAGAAAGAAATTAAGAGAGAGAAATGGATGCCCAGGACATTCTCTACACGTCAAATTTTAAAAAATGCATACTATTGCCATATCTTTTCTCTCTCTCTCTCTCTCTCTTGTTAAATAAGCGGGTTTTTAAATTATATTTGTTTATGTATCTATCAACCTTTGCATTGTTTAATTAATTGCATGTCTAGAAGTGTGTAGCCCGATTTCGAAAGCCAAAGTCAATATATGGAAATATAAAAAAAAGGATAAAAGAAAACAAATAAAGCATATACTCATCTGATAAGTGAAAGAAAACATTGAGTTTTGTGGGGTTGAGAGAAAGCAATTAACCAAGCTAAAGCGCTATTTAGGCTGCTAAGTTGGGCTTTCCAATGCTCAATTTGTAAGCTTTATCGTTCTAGTTAAATTAATACTCATAAAGGTGGAATTTAGTGTGACATTTGTTTCGTTTGTCCTCATTCAAATATTACAGAGATTCTGTTCTCTCTCTTTTTTCTACTTCTTATATTTTAAAAATAAACTATAACAAATAACAGGCTGATACTTGGATTCTAGAAGTAAACTAATAGTTGAAGTTTTGGCTAAGTATAATTTTAATACAATATAATTTTGGGGTCAGGTTGGCTTAGTTGAGCTAACAGGTGACTCTTTGGGAAAGGATATTATACTCATGATTATCTACTACTTGCTTAAAATCTCTCCCACGTGGCCAAGGTTTACTAAAGTGGTTGCCCTTGTTCTCACCCACCTACCCATGTAAGAAAAATATTTTGTTCACTTTCTCTAATTTCAAAATTTGAAACACCACCTTTCTCCCTCCCTGTTGCCCTTGTGAACATAATGACCGATGCATGTTGCACAGCGCACACACCACTTTTATTCTTACTACAACCACATCATGATTGAATCATTACCCCTTTAAATTCAAAGTCCCCATTCCTTTTACTCTCTCTCTCTCTCTCTCTCTCTCTCTCTCTCTCTAAACAGTAGTGCTAACTGTTGAAGATTAGAGAGACAGTGATTTTGCTAAAATAATAGAAGCAACTATGTAATTTGACTAGAATTTGAGTGAGTAGGGCCTGGGTCACTGGTTGTCTGCTTTTATGACCCTGAAATGGACAGAACTTATGAGGGTTCACATTACCCTCGGAGCACTATCGATGTGTAAAAGGATTCATTCTGGGACACACCGATACCACATTCATAAATGACATGTTCCCCACCTCTAGCAAAGCAATTATGCCACCCACAAAAATTAAAAACATAATTATAAATTAAATACTAATTAAGTTATATTTGTGTGTGTTCTGTGTCTGTTAATTATAATGGTACTTATTTATGTTTATTCAACTCTTAAAGCTGTTTTAATGATATAATTTTTAAAAAATTTAATAAATCAACTTACTAATTTATATAATTAGTACTGGAATCTTACAAAACTGATACAAAAAAAATTAAAAAATGGCATGTTAAAAATTTCAATTGTTGGTATAAGTAATCAAAGTGCATCATTTCAAACGTAAATATTTTTAGATACTACCAGAAAGAAAAAGAAGAAGAATGCTTTCATTTCTACACATCCCCTTAGATCAATTTTATCATTTAATTAAAATAAAAATAACTTCAGTTTTTACATACAAACTAGTATTCTATTACTACACACAAATGTAAGAAATTAAAGGAAAAACGTACTTAAATATACCAATGCGATGTTAATACGTATCGTTATTAAGCGAACAACTAACAAAGACCCAAAGGACAAGAAGTGATCAAGTGGGTAGTGATATATATGCCAGCTCACTAGAGATTTAAAAATGATCAATGATAATTCAAAATAAAATTTGAAAAAAATGGTCTTCGTATACTTGGTTTTTGTTAACAATTATTTGTGCCTCTTTTGCTCTTTTTTTGTTTCATCCATGC